CCGACCGACTATCCATCCATCCATCCATCCATCCATCCATCCATCCATCCATCCATCCATCCATCCATCCATCCATCCATCCATCCATCCATCCATCCATCAATCCGTCCATACATCCATCCATCCATCCACCATCTATCCATTCATCCATCCATCCATCCATCCATCCATCATCTATCCATCCATCATCCATCCATCCATCCATTCATCCATCCATCCATCCATCCATCCATCCATCCATCCATCCATCCATCCACCCAGCCATCCATCCATCCATCCATCCATCCATCCATCCATCCATCCATCCATCCACCCATCCACCCAGCCATCCATCCATTCATCCATCCATCCTTACATCCATCCATCCATCCACCCAGCCATCCATCCATCCATCCATCCATCATCTATCCATCCATCCATCCATCCATCCATCCATCCATCCATCCATCCATCCATCCATCCATCCATCCATCCATCCATCCATCCATCCATCCATCAGTCCGTCCGTCGATCCATCCATCCATCCATCCATCCATCCATCCATCCATCCATCCATCCATCCATCCATCACCAACATATCATTCTAGTATCAGTATAATCAACTGTTATGTACATATAGTACAAATGCAGAGACCTTATTGCAGCTGTGAATATCACGGTTGAACAGCCAACCGTCACAGACCAAGATGCCGTAAATCTAGTCGCCAGAGTGCACAACCTTACTCGGGACTTGTCGGCGAAGACCAAAGCGCTTGCCACTGCAGAAAAGACCTGCACTTACCTTAAGAGTGAAAGAAAGGAGCTACTGGCACAGCTCGGACGATCTGGTGCGAATCTAGAAAACCGTTTATCTTTCTCAAAGAAATTTTCTCATCGTTTCTACGAGATGTGCATGTGTTCATAATCCTGAAGTAACCTTTCTGAGAGGTTCTCACGTAATTGTTGCTACGTCGTATCTACTACCAATCAACGAAAAGACTATGTGAATGATAATCGTTCACGTTATTTTCCTGATAACAGTATGCATGGCGATATAGAGTCGAGCAAGATTTATGGTGTTTATATAACTGTAAGGATATGCATATATGTGTGCATGTAAGTAGGTAAATAGACCAGAAGACAGGGATGTGCACAGGTAAAGTAGACAGAATATTAAATACGAATGTGGATCGTTATATAGTACCAGCATGTACTCGTGTACTATATACATGTGCGTGTATTACAGAATCCAGGCAAGATCTGCTAAGGAACAAGTCCTTACAGGAGAAACCCAGTGAACAGAAATCAGCGAATAAGCAAGCAAGTAAACAGTACATGCCAGAACTGTTTGGAGCAGAGAGTCTTGCTGATTTGGCTGCTGATAACAACCATCTAAGAGACCAGGTAGGCTACCTCTCTCAGTGAGAGTTTTCCACAGTCGAAAGCACCAATTTTCACGAAAACTCAAAAAAGCATAATGATTTTACCTATCTGCCTAAGGAAGATAACTACTCCTGCCTTGGATATTTTTTTATAGATTAGTATTAGCTAGACCAAATTACATGTGATTTTTATGCAGCTCAAATTTTTGTGTTTACAGAACTTTAGTGCCAAGTGTTGTCTTTTAGAATGTCTTGTCAAAACAATGATTGGCTTAACCTGCCTGTCATTTAGACTAGGTGGATTGGTAAATTCATGACTTTTAATAATCCCTACCGCAATGTGTACCTACTGAATGTCTTGGTGTTGTTCTCATGCTTAGCTGAAGAAGATGTCGCTGATGCTAAAAGAGGAGAGAGAGAAGCAAAAAGCTGCTTTGACCAAAGCAGAGGCTCGGTCAATGAAAGAGCGAGAAGCAGCTGAGAAAAAGGTTTGTGCAAGCAACACCCCTGAAAATACTGATTGACAGTACCCATCACTTGCAGGGATCTTGTCGTTTAACTCTCACACAAATCTGACGCGGTCTCGATTTCATTGTCACACGAAAAAAACTATAGCCATACGCTTGATGTTGTTTATGTGCATTTGCAGCAAGAGACTGTCATTTTTTACTTTCAGGTGCAGTTTACTAGAGATTCTATGGAAAAGAAACTCAGAATTCAAGCCAAACAGTTTCCGTGGACAAAATATGAAGAGCTAAAGAAGTTGTCCCAAGAACAGGAGGTATACGTTCGTTCTTGTATTGTAGTAATGCATCAGGAATCACATTTGTGTGCAGGGTATATTCATATTTACGTCATATTCATCGCCGAGAACAAGTTGGGATGTTACCATGTTGGTCCCGTGAACCTCAGTATTATCACTGATAATGGCTATCATAGAGATACGTTTTGAAATCATCAGTGTGTCAGCATCTTGCTAGTGTTACTACGTCTACTATACTAGTGAGCCTCTTAAGTACATCAATTCTGATGGTAGAATAAATGTTTTCACTTTCACAGATATTACTCCCCCTTTGTGTACGTGTGCCAAAGATGTGTGTGTAACAAATGTTATAAGATTTTACATAACAAAAGTCATCGCAGTTTCACAATTGGAGAATCGTGTTATAACACAGCTTTCTACACTGCAGCAAGCCGTGTCCAGCCTTCACCATCAGGTCGCTGAGGCAGATCTGGAGAGAGAGCAGCTTGTGGCGCTGCGCATCAGTCATGAACATCAGGGCCACCAGGTGGCGCAACTGCAGCAGCAGCTCGGCGAGGCAAGAAAGTGTCACTCGCCCGTAAGCATGGCTAAACTGTAGTGCTTCCGTCGATTTATTATTAATTATTATTATTTTATTATTAAATCTTTTACTGAAGCTATGAGGATATTAATTACTGAGGCTATATTAATGTCAAAGCTGTATATGGACGGATAAATAAAAAAACGCTGTAAGTCTCCTTTATAGACAGGCGCCCTTTCTGTAGAGGCATGTTTCAGTATGTAATTGCCACCCAGGGGAAGTGCCAGAAGTGTCCTTTATAGACAGGTGTATATAGAGGGGTCTACTAACACAGATTTCACTGTAGTGGGCTTCTCACATGTAAGCGTGGCTTGCCAGTTGAGCAGACTATCGTACAATACATACTATTTTGTCCTAGTATTCCACGATCTATAATTTTTTACAGAATTATCATATATAATGACGTTCTTGCATTTGTTCATAAAACATTTCTTGTTGCGAAACGACTTTAGTATCGATGCCGCACTTTTGCAAAGGCAATTAGTTTTATTATTTGTGAATACTTTTTGACTGCCAGGAGATGGTCCACTACGAGGTGCTGTTGGGAAAGATCGATAACTTGGAGCGTAGTTTTCTGGTTCGTGAGCAATACCTACAAACCTGCATGCTCAGCCTACACAAGGGATCAGCAGGACCAGCCAGAAACAAGATACTAAAGGATGTGACTCTCCTAAAGGACAGGCAGATTGATAGGTTCAGAACAGAACTGGACGAGATACTGCTATCACTAAAGAGTTTTCAAGGACAGATAAAGCCTAAACCTGCTTACTAGTGTCATGAACGTATATACTCACATTTCTGTGTAATAATTGTAGTACGTATATGAGTATATATATATATGTTCTTGGTATGGGGTATTAGGTAATGTTAACAATTGTTATTTTTTATTCAGAGTGGCTATATATGCCCGGCAGCCAGCATATATCTGACGGCTGCCGGGCACGGTCTTCGATTTCCTAAATGCCCGGCAGTTTTTAATTTTTAGCGTTATCTCGAGTAAACAAGGGTTAGGGTTAGGAACTGTCGGGAATTTAGGAAATTGAAGACCGTGCCCGGCTGCCGGGCATATAGCCACAGCATTTTTTATTGCTTTATAAGAGGGAAATAAGATGCACTGCGTAGTATTTTATTTTAATTACGGGCATTTTTACATTATATCGTTTACAGAAAGTTATGCTGAATAATTTTCCTATTATTTTGAACTTTTTATTACTTATTATTGCCAAGTAGATACCTGGTACTCTAGTCATTAAAGCAACAGTGAAAGAAATATTTTGTTAGAATATTTCAACATTATATTTCCACATTTGCCTACTATAGTGCTAGCTCATTTATATAAGGTGAATTCACATCAATTATATTCAGGATTTGTTATAATTAATATAACACTATGTAAGTATGTTGTCACACATGTAAATAAATTAATAATAATAAATAAAATAACGACTTTTTTGTTTTGGGAACAGAGTATATTCCGTAAAGCAGACACTTGTCACTATATCCTGTGCAGAGCGAGTGACTTATGTATACAATTTGACGTTTAAAATTTTAAATATTTGGCAATTTGAGTACATTATTATTTGTCTGATGTGTTTGTAACATAGAAATATATAAAGATGATGATCACACAAATGTTAATTATATCTGCCACCCGAGGGCGACACACGAGATTGTCAACAAGTTCATATTCGTGTATAATAATAATAACCTACGTCAGTACGTGCATTCGGTCAAGGAATAGCCGGGATTTCTTATATAGGCACTAAGATATGCTTGGCTGTTAAGTCTGTATTTTTTTCTGTTCGAGAAATCTCTCCTACTGTATTTACATGTGTGCGTCACGTAAATAAATAATAATTAAAATTGTAGGTTATTCATTCTCAGCCTCAGCCATTGCAATTTACACATTTTGACATTTGTCTTCTCTTCACAAGTGTTCCACGAATTTTGTGAATGAATGTGGTTTCGTTGAATACTGTACTATCGTATCATCAATTGCCAATATTTTTCATAAATCCCCTCCTGGTGGCGTGGTGTATCCAAATAATAGAGTGGTTGGCACACAGGCACTTGAAGCGTTTCAATAAAATATAATGCTAACTAAATACGAAATCTATTTACTACCAAATTCTTAATGTTTCTATACTCTCTTTCACCTATTATTGTCGACAGTTTCCTGTAAATTCCGTCCAAATGTTACGTCCAACCATACGCTGCCGGCACCATTGCTTTCGAGGCGCGACTGTTGCACGCTTACACTAATATTTATAGCAGGTACTGAGGTAGGAAAGCGCGATCGAAAAAGTCGCTCGAAGCTCGCTGGATTTCACACTTTCACAGCACCAATACACATCCAACAGCTTCCATCTTTGTTTCTCTTTCAACAACAGTGTTCACTTGTTATAAAAACAACGTCTCTGTTCGTAACCGATCTGTGTCACGCGAAATCACACAAAGAGTAAAGACTGACAAAATTTTTGCGTTCGCGAACCTTCGACAGTAATGTAAATGTCTGTCAGAATACAGGGCTATATAGACTGGGACTCGCTCCCACCTCGATTACCCATCGAGTGACTAAGCTAAGCCGAGAGGTGGGAGCGAGTGCCAGTCTATGGACTATAGGCGGCGCGCAGGCGGCGCACTGCTTTCCAACTCCCGTACGAGCCTTGCCATTGGAACGTTGCAAAAACGTTGCAACGTTGCAGCGCAAGAACGAGGTCACGAAGAGTGCCAGTAGGTGTTTCCTGATTCTGACAGACATTTACATTACTGTCGAAGGTTCGCGAACGCGAGAATTTCGTCAGTCTTTGTGTGATTTCGCGTGACACAGCTCAGTTACGAACAGAGACATTATGTTTTTATAACAAGTGAACATTGTTTTTGAAAGAGCAACAAAGATGGAAGCTGTTGGATGTGTATTGGTGCTGTGAAAGTGTGAAATCCAGCGAGCGACGAGCAACTTTTTTGATCGCGCTTTCCTACCTGCTATATATATTAGTGTAAGAGTGCAACAGTCGCGCCGCGAAAGCAATGGCGCCGGCAGCGTATGGTTGGATGTAGGATTTGGACTGAATTGACAGGAAACTGTCGGCAATAATAGGTGAAAGAGAGCATAGAAACATTAAGAATTTGGTAGTAAATAGATTTTGTATTTAGTTAGCATTATATTTTATTGAAACGCTTCAAGTGCCTGTGGGTTGGCACGTGTACGGTGTAGCGTGAAGTCAACCAGACTTTCTATGCCATAATGTAGCTCTAATACTATAGCCCGCGTATAGTGACTGCCGCAGGACTATAGAACATCTTTAACTAGATTTCGCAGCTGCACCAGCACCCCAAAGTTCCCACGAAAAATCGCTCACAAAATGCAACATGATCGGGCTTTTTAACACTTATCTATCTACGTGGACATCTTACCTATCTTTTTGAACACTCCACTACTTTACACTATGTATTTATGCACTTATTCTTCAAAGTCTTAGCACTACTTGCAATTCCGTTTGAAATCCTGTTGTGTACCACGCTGTGCGCGTCACTCGAAATCGTAATGGCTGACTGCCATGTGTTCTTGCCTTACATTTCGGGCCGGCTGACGTCACGCACATGCGCACGCCACATCATTTTCAAAAGAAATTGCCAGTAGTCTTGAGCTTGTGAAGAACTAAATGCATAAATACATGGTGTTAAAGCTTGTGAAAGTGTCAAAAAAGATAAGGGTGAGATTCCACGTAAGATAGCCATAAGCTTTAAAAAAAGCCCGATCAGTTTTTTCGTTTTGTGCAGGGATTTTTTCGTCGGAACTTCGGAAAAGCTTGGTGGCAGCTGCGGAAATTAGTTCAAGCGATGTTCTGATAAGCCCTGTGGCAGTCACTGTATGCGCGTCCTATAGTACTTAGAAGCTAACCATATGGAGCCTGCAGAGGGCTATGCCCATAGGGCTATGCCCGGAACGCTACCCTAGTACTATCTAATATGGCCGACCGTACCTTCGCCTACCCTAACGAAGTTATGAGAGTCACTACGCCTACTTCCTAACCCTAACCCTAACCCTACCATATCAACAGTTACCAGTGGATACGTTCGGCATAAACCCTTGGGCCGACATAGACCCTATCACCTTACTAACGCAGATAAGGTCTATGTTGCCCGACCTCTGACTTGTTTGACCTGCTCGGTTTAGCCTATTTCTGACTAATATATATTATATATATGGAATATATATAATATATATATATATTATATATATATATAAATACTATATATAGCGCGTTAGAGTTAGCGCGTTAGTCAGAAATAGCTAAACGAGCCAGGTCAAACAGAGGTCAGGGGGACATAGACTCTACAAGCCTTACTAACCACACACACTCACCAGGCACTACACTAACGTTATCGAGCTACCCTACTATACTAGTTATCGTATCTACAGTACACCTTGCAACCCACAGTGTTGGGGGTCTAGAAGAGCACGTGTTAATGTTTCAGGCGCTACAGGTTGTAGACTAGGTATACTGCACATGTATATATCTCTGGCTCTGCAACCTTAGCCGTGATTAGATTTGTCACAGGCCTCCACACTCTGCTCTTTGATAGTACTAGAGCTGGGCCCTGTACCTAGCCCGACCAGGCTCTATGACTGTTTCACTTCGTAAGAAGCAAGAAGGTCACTTGTGGCTATACTGCATTTACCCAACCAATAATATTACTAATTATTATTTCAATTTATTTTCATTTATTAAAATTAATTCCATGTAATATCAAAGTGCTTGCAGTTACACTCTAATGCTCGTTACTGGCTCCTGATAACTAGTTGCCAATAGTTTAGTCGCATTGCTAGCTATTGCGGGCCTAGAATACTGTGTGGTGCATCCAGGAATTTACTTTATATTTCCATACAACTGCTTGTACCGGAATTTCTAGAATGAATTTGTCTATGCAGATCAACGTTTTGGTTATGTATATCATGGTATGCCGTTCTTGATGTTTCAGGTCTAACATATAAACCATCCCAATGACCAAGTCAGTCTTGTGGGCAATTAACTCACATGGGCAAGTTTACGGCCTATCAACAGCGGCACCTTATTGGGAGAAAACTGGTGTGAATACAGAAATACAAGACTTTAAGTGTATAGCTGCAGAAAAAAGTATTCTGTGGTCAATTGGCTCAGACCAACAGATATATATTAAGGTGCTTGCCACTGGCATACCCATACGAGTTGAAGAAAGCACATATGAGAATCAGGTAAAATTTAAGCCTGTATGTAAGTTTTCAGACTGTTTCTTCTATCGCTATATATCAGAAGTAGATAATAGGGAATGAGTGTGACTTCAATAAACAAGGGAAATTCGTCATTTACTAGCCTTAGAATACCTACGATTTACTACTCGTAACTCAACCAACTTGAGCTCAAATCGTACACAGTACATTCACCTAGCATCGCGTGAAATCGTTTCCTCGTATACACCCGCAATCCAGAAATACAGACTAAAACGTACGTCACGATTCTCCATTTCGTTGGTAGCAGATCAACTCCATAACCCGCCTAACTTGAAACAATAGGCAGCTACTAACGACTCTTACGCCCACGGCGATGCGGTGTGGCTCTCTGGGAGATTGGAGCTGGAGCTGCTGCTGATTGCGGTGGGCGTGCGTGGGGGGCATACCAGCTGTAAATAGGTCAAAGATTAGCTCGCCGAATGTTGCGTCGATGTCCAATCTCTCAGCGAGCCACACCGCATCGCCGAGGGCACAAGAGTGCACGAGTCGTTAGTAGCTGCCTATTGTTTCAAGTTAGGCGGGTTATGGAGTCGATCTGCTGTCAGCAGAATGCAGAATCGTGTCGTACGTTTTAGTCTGTATCTCCGGATTGCGGGTGTATACGAGGAAACGATTTCGCACGATGCTAGGCGAATGTACTGTGTACAATTTGAGCTCAAGTTGGTTGAGTTACGCATAGTAAATCGTAGGTTTTCTAAGGCTAGTAAATGACGAATTTCCCTTGTTTATTGAAGTCACACTCCTTCCCTATTATCTACTTCTGCTATATATGTATTCACAATGTGAAAATCGGCAGGTACTTAATGAATTGTAGACAGTAGTGATTATTGCTGACTGTTCAATTGTTAGTGTGTTCATGTAGTATAACACAAGAATTAAATGTGTAATTTGTAATAAACAATGGTATCAACCTGACTTGTGTACTGAACTTGGTGATTAAATTATACTTGCCTTATCACTTATGTAAAATTGACAATGGTTTTTCTGCATTGACAGCGCTATAGAGTGTTTAAATATGGCGGGTGGACGGACCAGTTGATCTTCTCGGACAGATACAATTTCAGCAGTGAAGATGGTACGCAGCATCTCCGAAAAGATGGCTTCTCACTTCCCTCTCCAGCATGGAAGTGGGAGTCAGATTGGCACATTCAAGAAAGTACTGGTGGCCAGTTGTTAGGCTCCGAGGTAAAGATACTCTTATAGAAACCTATTTTGAAGTTCTAGTTGGAGTTGTTCATAGAATCATTCACTATAAAGGGCATGGTGCAACATCAGTAGCAGTAATAGTAATAATAATAATAATAATAATAATAGCAATAGCAATAGCTATAGCTGCTGCATGTTGTTGTTCTTGTTATTGCTGTTGGAGTAGTAGCATGAACATATATATATTGAATATGATACTATATTCATTATTCATAGGTTCGTGGTATTAGCAGTGATAGTGGTAATGGTAGTTGTCAGCAGTGATAGTGGTAATGGTAGTTGTCAGGTAGGCCCTGTCACTGTGCAAGAGTTATTATAATAATAAACGTATGGATGTGACTGAATGGTGACACAGTGTATATATGTTACACTTCAGGGATGGATGTTTGCCTTTGACTTCCCAAGAAAATGGCACTGTGAACAGCAAATAAAGTCGTTTGTACGGCGCCGAAAGTGGATAAGATTCCGAGTATACACTGCCTTTGACAAGTGGGTGAAGGTATGAAGCTCCTAGGGATCATGCCCGATAGCAGAGAGAGAGCGAGAGCCATAGCTTCACAATTGCACAACAAATCTAAATGGGCCAGTGTCCAAATTTGTTTACAAATATTTAGCTTCTTAAAAGTTAAAAGTTTAGTTATACACACATACACATACACATGAATACATACACATATATGTATGTGTACATATATATATATATATATATATATCTTACATAAAGGGCAAGTCTGTTTTTTGGTCTGTCTGGGGCTCTATCTTCTCCCCCCCCGTAAGTGGTCACCCCCAACACTATATATATTCTTAATCAGCATGTCGCGACGACCATTTATACTATAAGGCCCCCCCCAAAAAAATACACAAAATAAAAAAGTGTCAAATTACAATTAAAATTATTTATTATTTTAATAAATGTCCGTGCGATGGCGCTATATACCCTCCTACTTCATCGAGTGCGCATTTTCGCGGTGTTGTAGCTGTATTTTGTAGCTCTATTGTCGAATTACAGCAACAATAAACGAATTATTAGCTTCGAAGGAGACAGGAAAGTGTCGTAGACGACTACCGTATATAGGTATAAATGCTGAACTTGCTGCTTATTTTCGTCTTTTCGAGTGTTTCGTATTCATCTCCTACAATAAATCGCCAGATCTATCTGTCTGTCTGTCTTCTCGAGACCAGTAAGAGGTGACCCGTGAGGTACAGGCGCAGATTTAGGCCGATTTGCACCGGTTTCCAGAAACCGGTCACAGGCTGGGTATCTACAGAATTGACCCTCAAAATTCACCAGAATGCACCAAATATAGCCTAATTTTTTAACAATTCTCGGGGGGGCATGCGCCCGGACACCCCTAGCTGTGACTTGAACTATGGAAACTGGTCACCCAAACCCTCTGGATCCGCCCCTGAGGTATATTCTCAATCAGCATGACGCGACGACCATTTTAGGCCAAAAACAATTTGCACAAAAAGGCCAAAATAAGGGCAAAAAAACAAACAACAAATTTCCTCTCAAAAAATACTAGCGCAGCAGAAAATACTAGTAACAGCAATCCTAGCGCTCGACTATACACTGCAGCAGAAAAGTCAAGACGAATCCTAGCGCAGCACAAAAGTAAACAGCAATCTTATAGCGCTCAACTATAGTCAGGCTCAAAATCAGGCAATCGCATGAAATGCCGAAACGCAAGCAATAGCACAAAAGCAGTAACTCCCAAAAAATCTCGGGCATCGCCGGGTAGCCCAGCTAGTATATATATATAAGAGTACATAATGGGAGAAGCGTATGAAACTGTTTTAACAGCGTTTTGCATAGTTTTTAACTTGAATTTATTCTATCAATATGTGAATAAATATATTCAAACTTTACCTTGTTTTCGTCTATGATTCTCCCTTAATCATATGACACCACCAGTTTACCTGAAAATCGTATGTGTTCTTCAAAAAAGTTTTTTGAATACGACACGGTTTCACACAGTTTTCCCAACCATTTGCATCTCGTTAACCAATGTTTGTTATCGGATTAGTGTTCTATTGTCTCTGACGGAACGCTGGGGGCTGTTGGGGATATTAGGTAAGCACAGTAACAGCAATTGTTTTGCTTCCTTATCATCAGGAACACGATGGCAACACAGCTAAAATCAGCTGCTAGCTCGCCGTGAGCACACATTTATTTCTAGCACGCTGGAAACGCATTACACACTGAATACAATTCGATGCCTAATATCTTCAGCAGCCCCCAGCGTTCCGTCAGAGACAATAGAACACTAATCCGATAACAAACATTGGTTAACAAATGCAAATGGTTGGGAAAACTGTGAAACCGTGTCGTATTCAAAGAACTTTTTTGAATAACACATACGATTTTCAGGTAAACTGGTGGTGTCATATGATTAAGGGAGAATCATAGACGAAAACAAGGTAAAGTTTGAATATATTTATTCACATATTGATAGAATAAATTCAAGTTGAAAACTATGCAACATGCTGTTAAAACAGTGTCATACTCTTCTCCCATTATGTACTCTTGACATA